AAAATGAATAAATAGGTGGGTGGGTGGGTGCCTGGCTGGATAGATGGATGGATGGATGGCTGGCTGGATGGATGGATGGATGGATAGTGGAAGGTGTAGGCGGATGGATAGATGGGTGGATGGATGGATGGATAGATAGTAGATGACAGGTGAGATAAAAGGGTGGATGAATGGGTGGGTGGATGGTAGATGACAGATGAGAAAAATGGATGGATGGATGGATAGAAGGTGGATGGATGGATAGACGGATAGATGGATGGGTGGATGGATAATTAAAGGTGTAGATGGATGGGTGGAGAGATGGCTAGGTAGGTAAGTAGAAATAGTGGGTAGATGGATAGATACATAGTAGATGGCAGATAAGATGAATGGATGGATGGTTGGTAGATGACAGATGAAAAAAATGGATGGATGGGTGGATGGATGGATGGATAGATAGTAGATGATGGATGAGATAAAAGGATGGATGGATAGTTGAAAGTGTAGATAAATGGGTTGATGGATGGATGGATAGGTATTGATAACAGAGAGATGATACATAGATGATAAAAGAGAACAGATAGATAATACATAGATGACAGAAGATATGGATAATGGATGGAAAATGAATAAATAGGTGGGTGGGTGGGTGCCTGGCTGGATAGATGGATGGATGGATGGCTGGCTGGATGGATGGATGGATGGATAGTGGAAGGTGTAGGCGGATGGATAGATGGGTGGATGGATGGATGGATAGATAGTAGATGATGGATGAGATAAAAGGATGGATGGATAGTTGAAAGTGTAGATAAATGGGTTGATGGATGGATGGATAGGTAGGTAGAAATAGTGGGTGGACAGATGGATAAATAGTAGTGACAGATGAGATGGATGGATGGATGGATGGATGGATTGATGGATAGTAGATAACAGATGAGATAAATGGATGGATGGATAGTAGATGACAGATGAGAAAGATGGATAGATAGGTAGATGGATGGGTGGGTAGATGGATAATTAAAGGTTTAGATGGATGGATGGAGAGATGGATAGATAGGTAGATAGAAATAGTGGGTGGGTAGATGGATAGATACATAGTAGATGACAGATAAGATGAATGGATGGATGGATAGTAGATGACAGATGAGATAAGTGGATGGATCGATGGATGGATGGACGGACGGACAGTAGATGACAGATGAGATGGATGGATGGATGGATGGATGGATGGACGGACGGACAGTAAATGACAGATGAGATAAATAGATGGATCGATGGATGAATGGATGGATGGTTGGTAGATGACAGATGAGATGGATGGATGGATGGACAGACGGACGGACAGTAGATGATAGATGAGATGGATGGATGGATGGACGGACAGTAGATGACAGATGAGATGGATGGATGGATGGACGGACGGACAGTAGATGACAGATGGATGGATGGATGGATGGACGGATGGACGGACGGACAGTAGATGACAGATGAGATAAATGGACGGATGGACGGACTGACAGTAGATGACAGATGAGATAAATGGACGGATGGATGGATGAATGGATGGATGGATAGTAGATGACAGATGAGATGGATGGATGGACGGACGGAATGGGTTCTGGTCTCACAGGGGCTGTATCAGTGTGTGTGTGTGTGTGTGTGTGTGTCCGTGTCCGAGCACACGTGTGTTAGGAGAATGACTTCTTATGGGTTCTGGTCTCACAGGGGCTGTATCAGTGTGTGTGTGTGTGTGTGTGTGTGTCCGTGTCCGAGCACACGTGTGTTAGGAGAATGACTTCTTATGGGTTCTGGTCTCACAGGGGCTGTATCAGTGTGTGTGTGTGTGTGTGTGTGTGTCCGTGTCCGAGCACACGTGTGTTAGGAGAATGACTTCTTATGGGTTCTGGTCTCACAGGGGCTGTATCAGTGTGTGTGTGTGTGTGTGTGTGTGTCCGTGTCCGAGCACACGTGTGTTAGGAGAATGACTTCTTATGGGTTCTGGTCTCACAGGGGCTGTATCAGTGTGTGTGTGTGTGTGTGTGTGTGTCCGTGTCCGAGCACACGTGTGTTAGGAGAATGACTTCTTATGGGTTCTGGTCTCACAGGGGCTGTATCAGTGTGTGTGTGTGTGTGTGTGTGTGTCCGTGTCCGAGCACACGTGTGTTAGGAGAATGACTTCTTATGGGTTCTGGTCTCACAGGGGCTGTATCAGTGTGTGTGTGTGTGTGTGTGTGTGTCCGTGTCCGAGCACACGTGTGTTAGGAGAATGACTTCTTATGGGTTCTGGTCTCACAGGGGCTGTATCAGTGTGTGTGTGTGTGTGTGTGTGTGTCCGTGTCCGAGCACACGTGTGTTAGGAGAATGACTTCTTATGGGTTCTGGTCTCACAGGGGCTGTATCAGTGTGTGTGTGTGTGTGTGTGTGTGTCCGTGTCCGAGCACACGTGTGTTAGGAGAATGACTTCTTATGGGTTCTGGTCTCACAGGGGCTGTATCAGTGTGTGTGTGTGTGTGTGTGTGTGTCCGTGTCCGAGCACACGTGTGTTAGGAGAATGACTTCTTATGGGTTCTGGTCTCACAGGGGCTGTATCAGTGTGTGTGTGTGTGTGTGTGTGTGTCCGTGTCCGAGCACACGTGTGTTAGGAGAATGACTTCTTATGGGTTCTGGTCTCACAGGGGCTGTATCAGTGTGTGTGTGTGTGTGTGTGTGTGTCCGTGTCCGAGCACACGTGTGTTAGGAGAATGACTTCTTATGGGTTCTGGTCTCACAGGGGCTGTATCAGTGTGTGTGTGTGTGTGTGTGTGTGTCCGTGTCCGAGCACACGTGTGTTAGGAGAATGACTTCTTATGGGTTCTGGTCTCACAGGGGCTGTATCAGTGTGTGTGTGTGTGTGTGTGTGTGTCCGTGTCCGAGCACACGTGTGTTAGGAGAATGACTTCTTATGGGTTCTGGTCTCACAGGGGCTGTATCAGTGTGTGTGTGTGTGTGTGTGTGTGTCCGTGTCCGAGCACACGTGTGTTAGGAGAATGACTTCTTATGGGTTCTGGTCTCACAGGGGCTGTATCAGTGTGTGTGTGTGTGTGTGTGTGTGTCCGTGTCCGAGCACACGTGTGTTAGGAGAATGACTTCTTATGGGTTCTGGTCTCACAGGGGCTGTATCAGTGTGTGTGTGTGTGTGTGTGTGTGTCCGTGTCCGAGCACACGTGTGTTAGGAGAATGACTTCTTATGGGTTCTGGTCTCACAGGGGCTGTATCAGTGTGTGTGTGTGTGTGTGTGTGTGTCCGTGTCCGAGCACACGTGTGTTAGGAGAATGACTTCTTATGGGTTCTGGTCTCACAGGGGCTGTATCAGTGTGTGTGTGTGTGTGTGTGTGTGTCCGTGTCCGAGCACACGTGTGTTAGGAGAATGACTTCTTATGGGTTCTGGTCTCACAGGGGCTGTATCAGTGTGTGTGTGTGTGTGTGTGTGTGTCCGTGTCCGAGCACACGTGTGTTAGGAGAATGACTTCTTATGGGTTCTGGTCTCACAGGGGCTGTATCAGTGTGTGTGTGTGTGTGTGTGTGTGTCCGTGTCCGAGCACACGTGTGTTAGGAGAATGACTTCTTATGGGTTCTGGTCTCACAGGGGCTGTATCAGTGTGTGTGTGTGTGTGTGTGTGTGTCCGTGTCCGAGCACACGTGTGTTAGGAGAATGACTTCTTATGGGTTCTGGTCTCACAGGGGCTGTATCAGTGTGTGTGTGTGTGTGTGTGTGTGTCCGTGTCCGAGCACACGTGTGTTAGGAGAATGACTTCTTATGGGTTCTGGTCTCACAGGGGCTGTATCAGTGTGTGTGTGTGTGTGTGTGTGTGTCCGTGTCCGAGCACACGTGTGTTAGGAGAATGACTTCTTATGGGTTCTGGTCTCACAGGGGCTGTATCAGTGTGTGTGTGTGTGTGTGTGTGTGTCCGTGTCCGAGCACACGTGTGTTAGGAGAATGACTTCTTATGGGTTCTGGTCTCACAGGGGCTGTATCAGTGTGTGTGTGTGTGTGTGTGTGTGTCCGTGTCCGAGCACACGTGTGTTAGGAGAATGACTTCTTATGGGTTCTGGTCTCACAGGGGCTGTATCAGTGTGTGTGTGTGTGTGTGTGTGTGTCCGTGTCCGAGCACACGTGTGTTAGGAGAATGACTTCTTATGGGTTCTGGTCTCACAGGGGCTGTATCAGTGTGTGTGTGTGTGTGTGTGTGTGTCCGTGTCCGAGCACACGTGTGTTAGGAGAATGACTTCTTATGGGTTCTGGTCTCACAGGGGCTGTATCAGTGTGTGTGTGTGTGTGTGTGTGTGTCCGTGTCCGAGCACACGTGTGTTAGGAGAATGACTTCTTATGGGTTCTGGTCTCACAGGGGCTGTATCAGTGTGTGTGTGTGTGTGTGTGTGTGTCCGTGTCCGAG